GGAGTGGCCCGGCGCCCCGCCCCCACTCGGCGGCTGAGACTTCGCCCTTGGCCTGAGCCCGAGGCTTGCACCGGTCAGCGCCTGGAAGCGGACCCACGCCTACTTAGGCCTGGGTCCACTTCTGTGGACCCAGGGCCTGGGGCTAGGGTGACTGCCCCAGCTAGACTAAGAAGTGGGACGCATAAAGGCAGCCTGTTTTTCCTTTTAAAAATGTTTTGGTCATAACGGTAGAGGCTTCAGCATTTGGCTACTCCCGGTGCTTGTCTTCACCACCCTACCACCTCGCCCCGCACACCCCTTTGTCTGCACCCCGCTCCCACTTCTACCTTAATTCCTTGCAAAGCATGCCAAGTGGGCGTCGCGATCATTCCGACAATGATAGGACTTCACCGCTTCCATGGTTACGAACGTCGAGTTTCTACGTGTAATTTCTTTTTAGAAAGCGTGCAGCTCAGTGAATGTAGATGGAAGGAATTTAGGAAGTGGGTGGTAGGAAGACGTTTCCCGTGTAGGAAATACAGGAAATTTTCCCTCTCTCGAAATGCATGCTGCGCACTGGTGGGAAGTTGGAAAACCCACCCACGGTAGGCACTGAGAGGCTTTACAGACCTGCCTTTGACAGGTTGGCTGGAGCTGCACCCTCTCAGTAAACATGAGTCCTAAGAAGTGATTAGATCTTTCTAGATGAAAGGTGGCGAAGTTTTCCTCTTCAACTAGTAAAGAGATCTATTGCAGTTTTCTATCTTGAGTATCTGATTAAACAATTTATGGGATGAATAATAATAACACTAATCCCAACTGTTACCCGTTTGTAGATGTTCAGTGTCCCGTAGCTAAAGAGTCAGTCTTCAGGTCAACTTTCAAATTCACACTTTTCTCATCATGCTACACTCCACGTACAGATATCTCCTGTTTATATTTATTTTTTTAATATAAATAGTTATATTTAATTTCAAAATGGGGGGTATTTACTGTATTTCCTGCATGGAGAAGTCTGCACTCCCTTTCTAAATGTTGTCCATTCGCTTTCATTAAACATTTTCCTTAAATGTCTACCATCTACCAGAGATCAACCACAAAACTGAAAAATTAAGTCCCCTGAAATTAGGAAGAGTCGAGGGAGGCAGGTATGGTGTAAAGAGGGAACACTAGCTAGATGTTGATTCTTATTGAAGCACCCTTCCGAAAGAAAAAAGTTTCTTGATAGTTCACTATACCATGATCATGGATAATCCTTGGCAGAGAATAATTGTATCAGAACCAGGCAAAGTATTGAGATTCATTAGCAAAAACTCCAGCCAAAAAGAGAAGGCAACGTTTGCTACATCATTACATTCTGTTGTTCTTGAGTATGTTAACAGTCACCTGAAAATCCAGTGGCCTTGCTGTTCTTGTCCTTGCTTGACTGCACTCCAGTGTTAGACACTGGTGACTTGTCTTCATTTAGCCTCCTTTTGGTTTTAGAATTCTCTGCGCTCATGATTAACATCTCTCTTCTGTCCCCTTTCTTGGGCTATTCCACTGCACACTTTCTACTCTTGCTTTACATGTTGCTTCATATATTCATTCATCTCTATCATTTATCTTAACCCTTTTTGGGTCTCCACACTATTTACAGCCATTTTCTGGTGTCACCACCTGGATATTCCAGAGGTAGATGCCATTCTTCACATCTAAAATGAGAATTCAGTATCTTTTCTAACCATCTATCCTCTCCTACCCATGCAGTTTCTTCCTTATCCTGAATCTCACATCTTTAATTTGGATCTCATTATGTTGATGAAACTAACCACTTAAAGGATTTAGAACCTTAATACTATGTTCATACAGGTTCTGCCTAGTAAATGTTCTTGTCATGATATAAGATTCTACAAATGGCCCAGAGGGATGTATATATGTTTTGGATCTTCTGAGAGGAAGCCATTCAGGTGTGGTGACTACTCAGGCACAGATCTGCTCCAGGGGACAGTGGCAGAAGTTCTTCTGTTGAGCTGACAGCCCTCAGCAAGCTCACCTGCCAGAAGCCTCTGTCGAGACAAGAACCATGAGGGTTTGTTTGGAGACATGTTAAATTCTAAGGACTGCCTTATTATACCCCAAACCAACTTCAGCTAATGCCTTTTCCTCCACACTGACTTCAGTTACTTGTATACACTGAACCTTTCTAGAAAGGTTCTAAAAACTGTACCTAGCTAATGTTTTAACATGCTTTGAAATAGATACTGCACTTTCATATTTACTATTTAATAGAGGGAAGCGGTGTAAGAGGGAGATAGTCTAGCATAACAGTTCTCAAACTTTGTGGTGCATGCGGCTCTCTTCAAGAGACTGAGATTGATGTAGGTGGCCAGATGATCACTCTAGAGAAATCAGTGGTGTTTCCCAAACCAGTGTTCTTAGAATCATCAGAGGACACTTATTAAAAATATAGCCTCTGGACCCTCCCTGGTGGCGCAGCGGGTTAAAGCACAGCACTAGGAAGCTTAAGTCACTTCAGCATGAGTTTGATCACCGCCTGCCCCGGAGGCGACCACATGGCGTGGCAGACCTCTCCTGACTCGCCTGCTGCTGCCCTCAGCAGTGTACTTTGTCAATCTGCCTGTTCTGCTCCCCACTCTGTCTCTGGTGGGTCCTCTCACCCTCTGCATTTCTGGCCTGTACCCCAGTTCTGTATGAATAAATAAATAAATAAATTTAAAAAAATATATATATAGCCTCCTGGCTCTCCGTGGTGGCACAACGGGTTAGGATGCAGTACTGCAAGTTGGCCGCAGCCACTTCAGTGGGATATCTATCCATGCATCGGAGGTGACCCACATGGCGAGGCAGACCTCCCTGACCCTCCTGCTGCTACCCTCAGCAGTGTACTTCATCAGTTGACCTGTTCTGCTCCCCACCCTGTCTCTGGTGAATCCTCTCACCACCCTTGCATTTCTGGCCTGTACTCCAGTTCTGTATGCATAAATAAATAAATAAATATATAAAATCTCCTCTGCTCCCCTCACCTCCTTGAATGACTGATATATTCATTCAGTCAGGAATGGGATCTGTGCTGAAAGTCTGAGGCATGTAAATATTGTAGGTGAATGTGCCTTGGCACGTCCAGAAATGGCAGCTCTTAACACAGAAATATGCTCCTTTAGGGCAGACCCCTGTCATTGTGTGCACCACCGCAAACATGGAACCTGGAACCTGGTGTGTAGTGGGTGCTCAGGACAGGGTTGACAACTCTGATTTACTGCCTATTTCTTCCTGAGGACGACTGTCTTGCTCTCAATCTGCAGCTATTCTGGATTCTCTAGCATGGCACAGAGAGATGTCTGTGTGGACGTGGATGAAATATCTGGTTGTCTTTGCTGAACTTCTTGTTTGAGGAGACTCTAGAATACTCAAGTTCATCACTGGATTATATCCTACTCATACCAAAGGGAGTTTGAAATTAGTGTTCTCTGATTTTGTAAAAAACAATTAGCATCATTTTTGGCTTATTACAAATATCTAACTGCCACCCTCCTCCACATTAGTTTTCTATCTGATTGTCTGCCTTCTTATTGCCTAAGTGCCTGATTACCTGAGCTGCCTTTCCAGGGAACCAGGATTCTCAAGCCACCTGCTTTACAACTATGTACCATGCCCCTTGGCAGAGCTAGTAATAAAAATCAACTGTCATTAAATGTTTCAGTGAATCCCAGTCTTGCTACATTACTACAGTCATTTCACAGATGGTCAAGATTCAGAGTGATTACATAACCTGCTTCAGATCACAAAAATTAAAAAGGATGATGCTGGAGTTTGAATAAAGGCAAAGCTCATTACAGAGCTACATTCTTACTTCTGTACAACCAAATATAATTTTATATATGTGTAGTTATTGGCTAGTCTGCAGTGATACATTATTTGTTCTTTGCAGAAAGGAAGAGGAACCTAAATGTTCTAGGAGGAAACTGGTCTGTCACCATGTAGTTTAGAGTTCCTATTTATTTGTTCTGCATTTGTTCTTCCTGATTATATTACAGTGATTCCTTTTGCAGCCCTGTCATTTAGCCCACACAGGTAAAGACTATACTCCTTCTGGAGGATGGAGATATTAAAAGTCAGGGGCAATGATGTCATTTTCAAGGTTGCTACTATTGACTTATTTAAAATTTTTTTTTCAAGAAAATGGTTTGGTAACATCACCAAGAGGAGTTAAAATGCAAATTTTTCATTATTGGACTTGTTTTCTTTTACAATTTATGACAGGCTGTTTCATTCATAAGTTTTATTATTTTTTAAAGATTTATTTATGTACGCATACAAGAACTGGTGTATGTGTGTGTGTGTGTGTGTGTGTGTGTGTGGTAGAGGGGCGGGGGGCGGTAAGAGGATTCACCACAGACAGTGCGCAGCAGATCCACTGAAATATGCTACTGAAGTGGTGGGGGAGAGGGAATTGGGGAAGTCTGCTGTGCCATGTGGGTCACCTCCCTGGCTAGGGATCTGGCCAGGGATTGAACTTGTGTAGCAGCTGTGGACAGCCCCATAGTGCCGTGCTTTAACCCATTGCCCCACCAGGGAAGACCCTAGTTTAACTGCTTTTTAAAGTGGAAAATTCCAACTTTGTCTTCTCCCTCTCTTCTCCCCTTCCTCCTTCTCTCTTCTTTCTCTTCTCTCTCTATTCCGCCTTTATTCTTTTCTTCTCCATCACCTCCCCCTTTGGGGGAAGAAATAACACACCAACAATAAGCAATAGCACAGAAACATATATTTTGTTTATTCCAAGTTCATCCTTGACTAAGATTAAGGTGATAGTGAGCTACTGCCCTCTGTCGATAGAATGTGAACATGTGCTAAATACATTGTCCTCAGTGAAAAGCTGAGTAGATG